TATATATATATATATATATATATATATATATTGTGTGTGTGTATGTATTTATATATATATATATATATATATATATATATATATATATATATATATATATATATAGATAGATATATATATATATATATACTGGTTACATATCTCACTGGTGACCGTAATATTTTGTGCTTCTTTGTGTGCCTATGTCTTCGGCTATACATGCGTTTACCGTGTATTGGAGAAATTACTATTGTGCCACGTTGATCTCAGAACAAGTTTATATGGTAAGTACTTTAGGTGTGCATATACTATACAAATTAACATGTTTATCTTCGATTTCAATCGTCCAAATTTCAGCTTTATACAGGAAAGCCATCAGCTATTTTATCATGTGCAAGTTATCTTGGTATAGTATTAGAACATCTGGAGCAGTTTAGTGAATCCTCCCGCGAAAATCAATAATGTCTATATCTTTAAATCTATTTTTCGAACCCGGATGTTGTTATAGTACAACTGGAGGGTTCCAATCGAGAATTCCGTAGATAATTAGGAATATTGTGCTGATTCAATGGTAAACCTACCGCTCCAATCTATTTTTAGAATCCGGAAGTGGTCTTAGTACATCTGGAGGATCACAGTCTAGATATAAAACAAGCGAACCTCAAAGCGCAAGGAGTAGCCGGCATCAATCTCGATGAGAGGCAACCCTTCTGCGTATATATTGGCCGAAGGGTATGTATGTACTGCCAAGCTTAACTTGTACTTAAGGTTATAGAAGAAAGTTTGTATCTAATTTCTTACTTCGGGTTTATAACTCGTTTCTGTTTCTGCAGAGAAAGTTTTGGCTACAGTGTTTTATGCACAAAGTTGTAGATCTACTTTGTACGTGTTTTTTTCTTTTGAACCGCAAGGGTTGGGCAGGCACAACCTTGATGAAAGGCAGGCATATATTATATCGTACTCGCGAATGTAGTGTGTGTACGCCTTACTGCATCTTATCTCGTTCATGCACAGCATGATATACTGCTTGTGTTCATGTGTACATGTGTATTTATGTACGATTATATAAACAGCATTCAGAAACATGTCATTCTCATCTGCATATATATATATATATATATATATATATATATATATGCATATTGCTCTGTCGTTGTACGCTTGAACTCTGAATACATTCTCCTCCCAAATAATAATCTTTCAAATTTTGTTTTTCAATCACAAAACCCAATTTCTATTTGTTTTTATATTTTACTGTACTGCAGATAACGAAGAGCAGTAGAGATCTGATCCAAAAGTATCGCCTTCCGGACAGAGCGTACATTCACACCACCTCCATGTCGGCCGAATTAAGTTTCATCAGTGCGAATATGGCATGGGTAAGCTATGGATCCAAATGTGAAATTTCGTTCTCAATTTTTGGTCTTGTTTTGGATCCAATTATGTGCTCTCTGGCTAATATATAATTAATCTTAGATATGACATCGTCTTCCGGTCGATCACATCCAATCTAACGAATTTTTATTCACAATCTCAACATTTCAGGTGCCTAACCTCACTTTTCTGTGTTCCGCATTTCACGATATATTCCCATATGGGCGCTGCCTAATCTCAATCCTCTATGTTGTGCATATACCTTCTACTATTTTCGCGATATGAGGCAAATTGGGGTGTTCACTCACTTAGTATGTCCATGCCTCTCCCACCGATACTCTATCGTATACGCCCATGTGGCTGCTTTCGTGTCTTGATCTTAGTATGTATTATGCATTGCTTCAGTCTAAGCTGTACTTTCACTCGCTTAGTAAATACAAGCCTGTCTCAAGGTATTCCATCGAGTACGGCCAGTTTGACTGAGGTCTCTGATAGTAGATCACGATATGTCATGGGTACTAGAACTGACCCAGCACCTATAGGGTGATATCATCTAGACACATAGAAACCACCACAGTCGTTTCTCTTTGAACCGAATGCATGCTTTGATCTTTGTGTGTATTGTGTATTGCTTTAGTCCAACCTTTCCGCTTGTCTTGGCATGCAATTCTGCAAATCACCCTTTCGACTATAAAATTCTTGATTGCTTTACATTCTCTTATGCAAATAGGCGCGTCCCGGTACGCTAATGATGGACCCCTTTGCTGGTACTGGTGAGTTTTTGCTAAGAAGTATACCTATTTTCGCGCATATATGTATATATATATATATATATGTGTGTGTGTGTGTGTATGTATGTATGTGTGTGTGTATGTTTGTATTTATGTATAATATATATATATATATATATGTATATATATATATATATATGTATATATATATATATATATATATATATATGTGTGTGTGTATCTTTGTCTGTGTCTGTGTCTGTGTGTGTGCGTGCGCGCGCGCGTGTGTGTGTGCTTGATCAATGAATTTGTACTATTGGGTTTATCGTCCTGTGGCCGCACTCGGAAATCCTCGAGGTGAATTCCAAATCAGAAATAACATAAATTACGAGCTGTTTCATATCGTCCTATAAATATAAGTACGAGCTATGTACTGCGATGATCTCAGTACTCACGGTTGCTAGGCCTATAGTGTTGGCCTTGCTGAACCCGCTCTAAGTTCACATTTCAGTATGATCACCTCCCCGGCTTCAAGCCGGTTGTGGTTGACTTATCGACAGCATCGCGCCTATACGGACTGAACCAGTTTATGTGTAACGTATCCACAGAGTTTGCGGGGAGAAGCGTATAATCGTACCTGAAACTCTTTTACAGCTCAATATAGACGCCATCCTGCACTAACCCTCGGGTCTGGTGCGGCTCACTATCGTATTGTTTTATTGTTTGTGCCAATCCTGAACTATTGATTGCCGATATGGCTGCTGGTCAAGTCCAATGTTTTAAGCTTGAATACGCCCCAATTCCAAATACTTTCAGGTTCTTTCCTGGTGGCCTGTGCTGAGTTTGGGGCACAAACACTCGGCAGTGATATTGATCCTCGTGTCATTCGCGGTACCTGCGGCATAGGTAAGTCTATCTACGTTTTCCAATCCATAGTCTACTACGTTTTCCATATTCGTAGGCTACCTAGGTTTTCTATATTCGTAGCCTACCTACTTGTCTTCCATATTCGTAAAGTGTACTTATTTTGCGTACCCCTGATCTGTATATCGATATCTTTTCTACACTCTCATGTGATGTATCATTCGATTTACACGTACTTTTCGACTCCTCAATGTTTCGTTACGCACTCTTTCCTAATTTCTTGATACAAATTCACAGGAGAGGGGACCGTAGACGACAACTTTCGGCAGTACGGTACAACAGCCAATTATTTGGGGCTGAATATAATGGATTTCAGCAATCTGCCCTTGCGCAAACAGGAGTGGCTTGACAGCATCATATGCGATCGTATGTACATCGTCAGTTTGGAGTTGAGTATCCTTGAACTATGTGTATTCTAGTAGTTTTCCACAAGTGCACCATGTGCGATTGTATGTGCATAGTTCAAGGATATCTAAGTGACTATATTTTTACTAGTTGTTTTCCATTCGTATGCCATATGTGGTTGTACGGACATTGTCAGTATATAGTAAAATATCCTTGAACTGTGTTTTTACTATAAGTATTAACTTTTTATACATTGTCATTCAAAAGTTAGACATCCTTGATCTATTGTAATAAGTATTAACATTTTATACATTGTCATTCTAAAGTTAGACATCCTTGATCTACGGTATACTAGTGGTTTTCGATGTCTACATGCATGGATTCACGAAATGTACTCCAACTGTTTGGAGATTAGCATAAAGGTTGTCAGCCTTCTACCCTTGCGCAAACAGGAGTCACTTAACTGCATCCTACACGATTATGTAAACACATTTCATGCACATCTTTAAATTCTTATGAAGTTCTGTTCAGGTATATGTATGTATGTATGTATATGTATATATATATATATATATACTATATATATATATATATATATATATATATATATA